TGTCTGTTTTGTATATTTATGTTTTCGCTGTCAAGAATTTACTTCGGTTGTTTTAAGTTTAAATAGCACTGGTTTTAAATGTTTTACTGGATGTTTTTTTTTAAATATTTTGAGATTATGGTTGGGTTTTAAGTTTAAATAGCACTGGTTTTAAATGTTTTACTGGATGTTTTTTTTTAAATATTTTGAGATTATGGTTGGGTGTTAGAGTATGTTGTCGTTGATGATGGTAACTCCTGTTAATCGCGTTGACGATGAGCGGGCGTTACACCCTAGTACGGGGATACAAGGGAATGCTTGGACACACAATGACCCTATTACATGGATACAAGGGAAAGCTTGGGCACACCGTAACAAATCTAGATTCTAAATCCTACTGATACTAAATATTGGTTATAAATTGTCCCCATTTCAATATCCAGATTTATATATATATTGAACTATTTCAGATTTATATATATATATTGAAATATTTCCTGTTTATCATATTGAGACCGTTTAGAAGTTAATGTTCGCCTATTATAATGGCCCAAACATTCCCAGTAGTTGCCATCCAAGACACAGCCGAGGGAAATTCGACACTCCTCAAGTTCAGTACATAAACACGAAAGACCTGGGGTTTGGCTGAAAACTACAAACATTCGAATCACTAAGACATGCTACTAAGATTCTCACTGATTTTTGGAAATATGAATTTCTATAGGGTGGGAATAGGTACATGGAATGCCGGAAGAGTTCCAAATAAAGAAGCCCAGGAGATGTTTATAAATTATAGGGTGAAAGAAGATCCTCATTCTCATAGTTCCAATTACTTAACAAACTAAACATGGTCAAGTACTATGGTTTTGTTATTTGAATTGTCGTCTGAATGCGTCAGACTCTCATGTAAGTAGGCTTGTTGCTCAGAAAAAATCCAATAACTAATCCAAAACTTCGAAAAATCTCTGAAGAAAATGTCAAATCAATAGAACATCTGTTCTATACTCAAACCATATTCATCCCTGTACTGTGTTTGTTTGGCTCATCTTATTCATGATCCAAATGGAGACTTGATTTTTCCTAATTGGATAAAGAAAAGCAATGGATGATTGTGGCAGCTGAACCGGTCACGGGGCATGTGTTTGTGGGATGGAAATTATGAAATCAAGTGTGACAGATTCATAGGTGAAATACCAAGACTAAACTCCAGCATGATGTTACTTTTTAGAACCCATCGTCCTTAAGATTGACATCTCTAGCAATAGTCTAATTGTCATATTCTCTTCTTAAATGGGTTTCCATGGAATACTTGACTGCTTGTAACTCTATTAGATGAGCTGGAAAGAGTGCTCAAGACTTATATTCTAATCTTAATGCGTCTCCAGGTTCGAGTAGCTAATCTAAATGGATCCATATTTCGGATATTATTACTGCCATTTAGATAAGCTATTCGAACCTTGATCGAATACTATTATGGGTAGAAAACGAGATTAAGCAACTGTCTTAGAAAAATTCAGACACGTGACTGTCAATTCATATGCCTGCCATGTTCAATTTTCCATGTTGGATGGATCATATTAAACTCCAGTGAGCCCTGTAGCAACAAAAAACAGCCACAATTCACCCAGTAATTTTCCCTGATGAAAAATGGGGCTACGACTTGGCTATGTAGCAAACACATAACAAAAGAGAAAAGCATGAAAATTGTTAAAACGATAAACAAATAAAAAGGGCATCAGTTCTCCAAGGTGATGTAGCATCAATGAAATGATTCAGACGCAAATTACCCATTTGTTTATATGAGATTCATCATATGCCCAATCACTCATTCCCATCTAATTCAAATTCAAAATAAAAGGATGTTCTAAAACATGAGTAATAAGAAGATCCAAAAGAAAACAAATTACGAAAAAGGAAAAAAAAATCAAATCATATCTAGATCTTAATTCAGAAAAAGCAAATTACAAGACAGTTGAAAACTTAGAAAAAGAAAAACAGAAGAGAAGATTGAAGAGCGATCGGAACCTGTCGGGATTCACTGTAACATCACACTAAATTAGTCAGTGGATTGACAGACATGAATTTCTATCGTCACCTCGCATTTTCAGTTATGAAAACAAAAGAATCAAGAAAGAACAACGAAAACAGCCACAGAAATCACAAAACAAAAAAAAACAAAAAAAACAAAAAAACAAAAAAGAAGGTAAAAGCTCAGAACTTCTTAGAGGGATGTGTAGCCATCACCGACGACCCCTCGTAAGAGGACGGCTATGGCACAGAAATCTTCCTCACAGCTTCAATGTGAAGGCAAAGTAGACGATTGAGAAGAACAATTATCAACGAAAAACAAACAATTAACCGTTGGGCGGAAAACGATGGAGAAAGAAGGAAAGCCAAGGCCTAGGGTTTGATGAGTTGAGGGAAATTGAAGCGAAAGAGGGTCTTTTATAAACCCATTTACCCACCGCTCCCTTTGCCGAAACCCTAATTCCCTTTTCAATTTTAAACCCTAATTTCCTTCCACGTATTTGATTTTCATTTTCGTCCTTCAACTTCTAATTTTATTAATTTAAGCCCGCACTTTAAAACTAATTTAATTAATAATAATAATAATAATAATGTTATTAGTTTTATCATTATTATATATTTGATGCTTTTAAGGAGTGTCTTAAATAACAAAATTCATTAATGAAATCCCTCAAAATGTCACATACAAATAAACCAAAAAGTACAAAGCTACAATTAAAAGTATAATGATATTAAGGTACATGATTTCATTACTGAATATTATAATAATAAAATACTTGCAGATTAAGTTGTAAAACTGGAGTTATTTTAAAATTATAAGAAAATTAGTCAAATGTAATCCATAAATTTTTTAATCATACAGAATAAAAGTACACTTGTAATCTAGTGCTTGCTAAATTTCTGTGAAGAGAATATAGAGCTTTAAACTCGCTCAAAGGCCTTAGTTATTCTCCAATTTGTCGAGTTGATCAATAATTCTACGGAAGGTCAGGGGTGAATTGGGACCTCCGAGTGGTGAACTAGTCCTATGAGTGGGTTGAGAGAGCTATGTCTTTAGGTTAGACCGAAGCTCAAGAATTGACAATTGGCAGTCAAAGATGAGCTATTGGAAGCCGGTTAGACCGAAGACGACATTTGACAACATTTGACAGTTCTGGATAGACAATCGATGATCAATGGAGAACAAAATATTTTCCTCAACAATTTTTCCGTTCAAATATGACATTATTGTTACGCAGTTTACTTTTTAACTCTATATACACATACACATATGCCACTCTCAAACACTCCCCACCTCAAGCAACAATGGTTTAAGAGAAACTCAGGTTAAATTAATGTATCGAAGTTCCAGATTAAAGTTGATCCACACAAAGTAATTTGCAATATTTTTCAAATATATTTTAGTTATTAATAATTTTATAAATTATTTTAAACGAGCCTAAACTAAAATAGTTTAATATTGTCAATTTAAACATAATTCAACCGAAAGAAACACATATCATCTACTAAAAGGTCAAACATTCAAATTTAACTCTCACGGTTGAACATAGAAAAATAATTATTCATTTGGCTTGTAATTACACGACTAACTCGAAAAATATTAGCCAAATTAGTAATACTATGGTGTAATAACCTGTTAATAAACAATAGCAAGATGAGAATTAGGAAAGAAGCCAAAAACTACAGAACTCCCAATAGGAATTTGTACAAGAAATTATTCTAACAGAGAAGTAGAAGGAATAATTAAGAATGGGTAATTTGAAAAGCAAATTCACAAGATAAAAGCTCTAGAAAGAAGGTGGGGAAATCTGTAAGCATTGTTTCAAAGGGGTGAATTATTTGGACACACTTCAATTTGGGATTATTTAAAAATGCTACTCACAGAGCAATCGTCATGAACTCGCCAAATGGTTTCACCCAACAGATTTGCTACTGAAAGAACAGTCAACTGAGGGAAGTAGTTCTCTGTGATTGCTGGGATTGTGTTTGTAACTATCACCTCTTGAAACAACCCGCTCGATAACCTCTCGATCGCTGGAGGGCTGCACGGTGATCAACAACATAATAAACGTGCAAAAATCATACAATTTCGAAAGGAATTAATCATATACTGTAACCATGTTATTACCTAAATACAGCATGAGTGCAGCAAGCATAAACTTCCCTAGCACCCTCTTGATGTAAAAGAGCAGCACCTTTTGAAATAGTCCCTGCACCCAGAAAGGCAAAAACAAGAACAAAAATATAAAAGATATACACCAGGTGAAGACAACTTTGCTGTGAATCAGAGTCTAAAATAAGAGAACACTTCAAACTTCAAACAAATAAACATTTTTCTTGGAAGTTTAGGGTCTAGAAAATATACATAGCTTTGATCTGTGTTCTTTCTTTTTTTGTTTTAACCATTTTTCAAAAGTTGCATCTTAAAAGTAACTATTATGCATTTTAACATCCAAAGGTATCTACAACTTCTCACCAGCAGTGTCAATCATGTCATCCACCATGACAGCAACTTTTCCTTTAACGTCACCGATAAGGTTCATTACCTGCAAGGTAGACGACAAGCATTGGCATTTGGATGTGCAAGAAACAACAAACAAGGTCCATAAATCCAAGAATGCAACATATCTGTCAAGTAGCCTAAAGAATTTCAAAAAGACGTTCAATACTTGGCCTGGATTTCATTCAATCATGGACCATAGTATTGCCACTCTTGAGCCTATTGTGTACTCATCTGCCAATCGAGGACTATATTTTGCTTATGATGTTCCATATTTGCATCTAAAAATTTGTCAGCCTTCTAAAGCTACTAAAGATTATGATTGGTGATTCAAAAGTGAACCAAACCTAAGAGGATGGGAGAATGGTTCTGGAGGATGTTTACCTCGGCAACGTTGTGTGCTTGACGCCTTTTGTCCACAATGGCTAAAGGAGCATCAGATAGCTTTTTGGCAAAAGCACGAGCTCTTGCAACACCGCCAACATCGGGAGAGACCACAACCAGATCATCGTAACAAATTGTCTTGCTGGCAAGATAATCTAGAATCACAGGCTGGTAACCAGATAGAAAATTAATGTTATTACAAACCCAACCAAATATATGGAAGAAGCGAGTTAAATATGAAATACCTCACAGTACACATGATCAACAGGTATATCGAAGTAGCCCATCGACTGTCCAGAATGGAGATCACAAGCAAGAACACGGTTGGCACCTGCTTCTGTTATAAGATTAGCAACAAGTTTGGCTGCAATTGATTCACGACCTTGAGTCTGTGAGGCAAAACAATTCCAACAGATAATTTTACAACCATCAGAGACTAGAATAAAAATGACGGAAAAAACTAGTTATAATCTTCAACATACTATTTTAAGTACTCTACTCTTTCATGGTTCCCATTTAAGTTGAAACTCAATCAAGAACATTACAATCGAGATTGCAGCATGTCTATTTACATCATCAATAATTTTCCAGGCGTATCTAAGCCACGTAACTTCTTTTATAGGTTCAACAAACTATTCTAAAGATTAAACTTGCCTTTCTGTCAGCTCTGGCATATCCAAAATATGGGATTACTGCAGTGATATTTTTGGCTGACGCCCTCCGACATGCATCTATCATAACAAAAAGCTCCATGAGATTCTCATTTGCAGGAGGGCAAGTGGGCTGTATTATGTAAACATCACATCCTCTCACACTCTCTTTCAACTGGACATAAATTTCTCCATCAGCAAATCGCTTAATGTTAACCTTTGAAAGTTCCAAACCCATATACCTTGAAACTTCCTAAAAATAAAAACCGGAAAGTTAGAAAGCACATCCATGCAAAAATCTGAGATCAGTATAGAAAGAAGGGTAGATCAAACACAAATAATTGAGGAAATTGAAGGCATCAAATAGTATAAATCAAGTTCAAATACTGATGTGCAATAAAATAAGACCAGCAAACCGAAACTTTTAGGTGAGCAAGAATCAAAACTTTGAGGTAACCTATCAACAAATATATATTCATAGATCATGTAGTGTACTATGAAGTGAATTCCTTTTAGAATTTTGTTTCATTTCATTATATCGATGAGAATGAAGATAACACTAATGGAACTTGATCGCACACTAATTATTAGATTTAAAAATAACATTCACAAGATGACATGAACTGTACTGGTTAATATTCCATCTTCCCATTTGTCAAAAAAAAAAAAAAAAAAAAAAAAAAGTTGAAATAGAGTGATTCTGTCGTTCGATAATAATTGAAGATGACGACATATGAACAATCAAACGAATGACAATTGAAGTACAACAGATTCGGAAATTTAGCGAAAATAAAACCGTAAATCGTTTCAATACAATACTGAGAAACAACACGGAATACAGTTCTACTTACTTGAGACAGAGCAAGATTTGCAGTTCCAGAAAACAATTTTAAACGATTAACGCTTCTGTCAACCGGTCTCCCCATTCTAGCTGATTCCAAGAACTCCGGTAGACTACGCTCATTAAGAATAGGAACAATTGGTTTCCCAGTACCATATCTGCTCGATTCAGGCAGACTACACTTCTACACAACACAAAAACCCCCAGATAAAAACCACACACAAACACAAATAAACTTATAGAACAAATTAAAATTACGATCCATCCATACAACACACAAGTCGAAATGATCAAAACATGCAGAATCAGAAGGTTGCAGAAATTGTAATTCAAAATAAACCAGAGTGAAACAAGAATGCAATTATTGGTAGAGAGAAAGAGAGGCGTACGAAGGTGTAACGAGTACAAGTTGGAGAGAGAGAGTCGTGGGAGAAGAAATCTCTGCTTCTGCGGGTTATAAAGGAGGCGTGGTAGGCGGAGGAGGAAGATGCGGCGGAGTAAGAGAAGGAAGGACAGGAGGGAAGGACAAGCGAGGCAGCCATGTCCAGCGGCAAAGGGAAGTAGGGCGAAGGAATTAACGCAGTTTGAGGTTGAGCTGGAGGAGTTTATCTATGGCGATTGTCCCCCGCCATTGATAGAGCTCGGATTTTTGAGTTTGATCTACAAAAATCAAAATGGGAAAATACGTCGTTGGTAAAGGATAGACTAGCGCCGTGTGCGAGTCAGATTTCTAAACCTTATTCCTTTATATTTAATTCTTATTATTTTCTATTTTAATTAATCATATCCTATCGAGCTAGTGATGATATTTTATCAATCCCCTCTTCAGTAGTCCTCGTTCGTCGCACCATATGAGTTGATTGTCACACCATATGAGTTGACAACGAAAGCCCTCATATTTACCGATATTCAACAAGTCTGCGTGTTGGTCATTCATATTCTTATTTTTTTTCAGGACTTTCTCTCTGATAAAATGGTAATGCACCTCCACATGGTTTGTTCTAGCATGAAATATCTGATATTGGTTGTCGCAATAAAGTGGTAATGAATAGTCAACTTTCTAGTTCAAATTCATAGTCAAGAGTTTCGCTTTTTTTAGCTACTTCAGCTATAGATCTGTACTCTATTTCTGTAGTTGACAATAGTACTATTGGTTGTCTTTTATTACATCAAGAAATTACTCCCGAATCAAGCTTGAACACATACCTAGTGCTTGATCTTTGGGTATTATGAAAGCATTTTTATATCCATCTGTCATAATTTTCCATCTTTATTCATTGTAAGTACTGGAGGTACTTGTACGATAGTGATATTCACCATTAGACTAATGTTTCATCACAGTCTAATTCATTCGAGGGACGCTTTATTTTGTAAACCCTTGCATTTTCTAGTCTTGACACTATTTTTTCAAGTTTGATTTTTCTCCAACGCTGTAAATTCTTCCTCCATTGTCTATTTCGTGATGCTTCTTGCTTTGAAAGTCACCTTCTACTGCTCAATACATGTTATTTTGTCCCTCGATTTTCTCGTGAAACTTAAAGATAGTGAATCAAGGAAGAGCTAGAGATTAGTTTCATAACTTCTTGTGGACTGTAGCCCAAGTTATAAGCTTCTAAAATTTGTCGAAAAACTTAAATCTCGCCGGAGAAGAAACTCAGAAACTCGTTATTGGTTTGAACGTTCAAGACACTTTTAGCTCTCAATTCCTTCATGAGATTTCTTCATTATCTTCTCCTCAATCTTAAGGATTCATTTTGAAATGATGAAGTCTCAAGTATGCCTCTAATTTCTTGATTCTTTCTCTCGACACACAAATTCATGTAAAAACTAAATCTTGTTAGACAACCTGATAGAAAGGTCTTCAGTTGTAACATCCAAGCCCGACAAGAAATTAAATACTCGCTTTTCTCTTTTTAAAGTTGAACTTCTAGGACTTTATTGAGTAACTCAAGGAAAATATAAAAGAGAATAGTGAAAATTTTAAAAAGTTGGTCAAAGTCAACCCAAGGTGAAAAAGGTAGCATTCCATTGAATGTCAAGAAGCTGAAAATTTTTGTAAGTTTTTAATTTTGGATGAATTTTGGATCGGATGAATTCTTGTTGTGATCGAGTAAAAAAAAATTTATTTCAACACTAGCACTCTCGATGTCTATAACAACCTATAAGATATTATTTTCTACCGTGCCCTCTAGGGACTTTTTCATTTAAAGCAACTTACTCACTAGTATATGTTGGTACATTTTTCTCACCTCTCTGGTCATTTCACTATACCATTTAACTATGTTTCGAGACATCTAACCTTCCTTGGTAAAATCATTTTCACGTGTATAGTAGTGTTAAATATCCTACTAACCTCTTTTCATGAGACCACAGCTCCACAATCATAGTACAAATCTTGCTAAATCAAAACATGTTTGAAATCATTGATTCATCACATAGCATTCACATTCCATGCATATTAAATCATAACATAACATGGCAACATCGCTCATTATCTTTCATAGGGTATGCATGACGGTGATGGATCGTTTGTTGCATGGTCATGGAAACATGTTGAGCCTACATCGTAGGCTAATCAATAGAGTTCTGATACAACTGCAACGACCCTATTTTCCTTTCAAAAGAAAGTAGCTACTACATGTATATCCTATCTACTAAGTGCAAAAAAATATTTTGAAAATAATTTACTAAATCGTTGCCATGGGCGAGGGTGTCTTACCAAAATCAACACTTTAAAAGTTGTCATGGGTGAGGGTGTCTTACCAAAATCAACACGTTAAAGACCTACTCATTTACTTATTCTTATATGGGAGTTATATTCCCAGCTCTTCCCCCTACACATAAAAGGACAAACCCTCACAAAAAGGAATTCATTCCACATTCAGGATTAAGATCAAGTTGCATATGATCGACCTTCGAAATATTAATCTTCCCAATTAATAGTATTCTACAAACTAATTGCATGTGATACTTTGACTCACTTATCTACACATAAACGATTCAAATCAAATTGTTTGTAACGATTACAAAGTGAACCGTATCAATAATGTTACCAAAATAAGACACCAAACCTGTCCATATACTATTGATCATTTAGGTTACTATTTCAACGTGATCCACTCGTATGCTAGTCGCATACTATTCAAGATTACACTAATAACCTTTCATTTACTTACAAGGGATAATATTAAATTGTAAATAAAATAATCAAAATTATTATTAAAAATAACTCATTACAAGACCACTAATTGCATACTATTCATGTGTTGTATCTATGATATGTTATTTCACATTCTATTTGTAAAGTTGAAGAACGAGCTAGAATGGAAGGACCCCCTTTCTCTCCAGATCTTATTTCAAAGGGTTAACTCAATAATATTTCATACCCTCAAGCTTTCTGGTTGTTCTTCAGTTTGTTCATATTTGTGTTCCAATTTGATGCACTTGTACCACTTAGCACAACCAATGTAGATCACAAAATCAATCACAGTCAAGGCAGCAAGAAGAAAGTAGAACCTGTCCAAATGCCCTTTGTTGAGGTTGCTTGGGATCCAACCAGCCATGTGATCCGCCGTTGAAATCTTCATCACCATTGTCACCAACATGCTGCTAACATAGTTCCCTAACGAGATCGAGCTCATACATAGCGCACTCCCAAAGCTCTTCAGCCCATCCGGTGCTTGTGCATTGAAGAACTCAAGCTGACCCACGTACATGAAAACTTCTGAGGCTCCTATCAATGCATATTGTGGAACTTGCCAAAAGATGCTCAAGGAGCTCGATCCTGATCCTCCACAGTCAGCTTGGGCGTATTTGAGTCTGTAGCACTCAACAATGCCTGCCGAGACCATTGCCATCATGGCGATGATCAGCCCAACCCCCATCCGTTGTAGCTCTGTCAGCCCATTGGAGCTGGAGTTTTTCAGTTTTCCAATGAATGGATCGAGGATGCGGCGGTAGAGGAAGATGAAGAGGGCGACGCTGAGAATGTCGAAGCTCGACATGCTTGCGGGTGGGATGTGGAAGTTTGAGATGGTGGTTTTCATGACTGCACCTTGCTCGACGAAGAGCGAGGCCATTTGGGTGAAGACAACTGAGTAGATCATGGTGCAGAGCCAGATTGGGATCAGTCTTAGAATGCATTTTACTTCTTCTACTCGGGTGATTGGGCAGAGGCGCCATGGATTGTTCACTTCTTCCTCTCGATCGCTTAAATCCCTCGAAGAGATGTAGGCTGCTTTATCCAAGAACCTGTAATTTTTGCAGAAATGACAAGAAAGAATTAACATACACCCATTTGATCATGTTTCCATTCCTCATTTCTTGTTACTTCTTTTGTAACTCTCTAAGAACTGTGATTGAGCGACTAGTAACATTAAAATCATTGTACGATTATTCACATCCTCATTGTCTTATTAAGAGGAGACAATTATTAAAAAGTAGTCAACCAAACATACTTTCTCTTGTTTGTTTATCTGTTTATCCTTCCCAACAACTATGCTTAGGAAACTTTTTTCGTCTCCAGTTCCATCATTGATCCCACATCAGTTGGAGAAGGGGAACAAAACATTCTTTATAAGGGTGTGGAGAAGGAAAATCCCAAAGAGGAGAATATTTGCTAGCGGTGGGCTTGGGCGGTTACAAATGGCATCAAAGCCAGGCACCGAGTGGTGTGCCAGCAAGAACGCTGGACCTCCAAAGGAGGTGGATTGTAAGATACCACATTGGTTGGAGAGAAGAACGAAACATTCTTTATAAGGGTCTGGAAACCTCTCCCTAGTAGATGTGTTTTAATACCTTGAAGGCAAGCCCAAAGAGAACAATTTTTGCTAGCGGTGGGCTTGAGCAGTTACAAATGGTATCAAAGCCAGGCATCGAGCGGTGTGCCACCGAAGACACTGGACCTTCAAGAGAGGTGGATTGTGAGATCCCACATTAATTGAAGAGGAGACTGAAACATTGCTTATAAGAGTGTGAAAACTTCTCACGCGTCTTAAATTCTTGAGAGAAAGCTCAAAGAGAACAATATCTCCTAGCGGTGAGATTGGCGGCTACTCTTTGTTTGGCATCTTATTCTTTACTGTTTCTCTTGTTCCTTTGTTCTTCCTAATAAACTCCTAAAACGTTTTGTTTTCAAACACTTCTACACTTCTTAACAAGAAACAGAAAACATAAGAGCTTAATTCTCATGATCAAAAGTTCACAATAGACCAAAGCGTTAAACTACCATTAAACCCAAAATCTTAATCTTAAGCTAATAGAATACTGTAAATTTAAAGGTTCTATAGCTAATACCAATCACCATTCAACCAAAAGCTCAAGTGAATGAATCAAAACCTATCACGTCTAAGAATTGAAAGAAACATATAACAATGTACAGAAACACAAACTTCAATTCAGAAAATGGTAAAATCGTCTCACTTACTTGAATCCATGAGTGTGGAGAATCTTCCGGCAGCCACTGTTAGGGCTCTGCTTCCGATCGTTCTCAAACAACCCCTCTCCTCCAATAGGAACCCTAACCCGCCATTTCTTCGCCGCCGAGACGACGACTTGACATACTCTGGTAAGGGGGTTTCCAGAGGGCTTGAAATGCCTGTACCGCGGAGTTCCAGCAAGGAACAAGAGCAGCGCAACGAGAGCGGACCCGGCGGAGACCCAGAACCCGAGAGCCCACATTCCTTCATTCTCAAAAAACCCTAAAATGGTGTTGGAGAAGAGGGATCCGAGGTTTAAAGCAAGGTAGAAGTAGCTAAAGAAGGCGACCTTCGAATGGCCCTCTTTCGGATCCTCTTCATCGAATTGATCGGCGCCGAATGTGGCGATGTTGGGCTGGTAGCCGCCATTGCCAAGAGCTGTGAGGTAAATGGAAAGGTAGAAGAGGGAAATTTCGGATTTGGAATGGCTTCCACAGGGCGTTTGTTCATCGCCACAGCCTTTGGGACGGATCAAGAAGAGGTAGGAGGAGAGGGACAATGACACCAAGCCCTGCCATTTTTTAAAATTAACACAATATTCAAATATTTAGTCTTTCCATCCACCGGTTTAAATGGTCCAAGAACTCGATCAATTAGAACTATTCAACTCAAACCATAAACGTTGAATTGTATTAAACTCTTTTTTCTATTTGGTTTATATTAAATTTTTAGAAAATTAAAAATTTGGGTTCCAACGAGTTGATAATTTTTAGTCAGGTCAACCCGACCAACCGGAGAATAGGAATTATAACCCAACCCTACTTTCTAAAATTATTATGAAAATTAAGAGTATTTGACATCAGATGATTTTAATATTTAAGTTTTATGAGATTTTAGTTATTAATGTCTTATATATTTTACAACGATGATTTTTTTTTAAATAATTAAAAAAAAAACAACTCAACAACTCAATTTATCCCGGTGGGATTGAGTTGTGAACCCTATTCGGTTTGCCAAGTCACCAACTCAATTAATTCGAAATTTCGGGTTGGTCCAAAAGATTTCCCTACCTCAACCCACATATACCCATATTTTTGATTAAAATATTAATCTTTAACCATAGTTTCTGAATAAAGGTTAAACTTCTGTAACTTAGATTAAAAAATTAATTCCATGTTAGGTTAATTTATCTAAATTATAAATTTATTAATTCTCAAGCTTCTAAAAACTTGTTAATATGAACGTGTACAAATTACACATGTCAAACATCGTTGAAGAATACTTACAATGACAAAAATGATCTGAAAGATGACACAAGTTTTATATCTGCCCCAATAAGAATCACTAAGAAAAGCTCCAACAAGTGAGAAGATATAAACCGTTCCCATCCATTTGCTGACATTGTTAGCCGCATCAGCGTTATCTTGTTGCAAAACTCTCGTTAGAAATAGCACCAAGTTCACTCCAACTCCGAAAAACGCCAAAGTTGCGAGTCCTTGGTTCACTAATACACATACAAAAGGCTTAGAATTTTGTTTGTTGAGTCCTCTTCTCAACTTCATAAATGATTTCATTTCAAATTACCATTCAATCAATTTGGTCGTCAAAATTAAATATATAAAATTAAATGTATATTTGTTATTAGATGAATGATAATTTACCGAGAATTATAATTGCTGCAACCCACGTTCCAGATTTTGATTTAATAGCTGGTTGACCGTGCCAATCGACTGCTCCGTCTAGAGTGAACCCTTCTGTTTCTACGATCTCTTCTTTCAACGTACTCTACCAATTTCAAAATAAATTATTATTTACGAAGATGGTGATGGTAATTTTCGGTAGATATTTAAACTCTATTACGATAGAAGAAAACCCAAAATGTGAAGAGAAGTGACCTGATGGTGAAAGGATTGAAGAGCAGCCATGGATGGAGGAGATATGACCCTATAATGCAATGTGATATGAAAGGAGGATGGTTTTTTGAGAGTATAAATAAGCACAACAAGAGTGGATCTATGGGTGGAGATTTTGAGAGTAACAAAAGGTGGGACACATGGCCGAAATCATCGTCTAATATCTTTCCATTAAACATTTTGATGCCTTTACTCGGTTGAATTATGCTTAAATTGGCCTCTTATTCTTTTACTCTGATTATATGCTATCAATGCAGCTGATAATTGTCTTAACCAATTGAATTATATACTCAAGTTGACTTCTCTCGTATATTTAATAACTGTCAAATCTTCCTACCCAGGTTATATGCTATCAATCTTGTGAGATCTCACATCATTGAGGGGAATGAGTGCCGACGAGAACGTTGGATCCTAGAGAGAGTGGATTATAAGATCTCATATTGGTTAGAGAGGGAAATAAAACATTGTTTATAAGGGTGTGAAAACTTCTTCCTAACAGACACGTTTTAAAACCGTGAGGCTGACGACGATACGTAACAGACCAATCAAACAATATCTACTAGCGGTAAACTTGGATGTTATAAATCTAGTTGATAGTTGCCTTTAACAAGTTGAATTATTCTGAAATTGACTTCTCTTATACATTTAATGGTTCTCGAATCTTTCCACCCAAGTTATATGCCGTTAGTGTCGTTGTTAATTACTTACTAGCTTATAATTTTATTTTCTCAAATTGGTTTTAAAATGTTTTTCAAAACTTTCTCTAATATCGTTTTCTAAAACCATTTTGCTATAACGAGTGGAAGCTAAATCATAGGTCACTTATACTATCGGTTACTCGAATTGAAGTTGGAATTACTATTCAAACGTTTACAATGGGCCCTCCTCAAATTCCACTAGGTAATATGATTGTAAGCAATTTTAAAACTCATTTAAAATGAATAAATTAACGCCAATATCCTTTAATCTAAGTTGACGTCATAAATTCTAATTTTCCCATATGAAAAATGCATCTATAGATTTGTAGTGCACATAGTGGGATATGATTTTGGATAATTTGATTATATTAATCATATATTGATTAATTTTTATAATCTTTTTGGAAAAAAAAGTCCGATGAAAGAAACTTGAAAGAATTAAGCAACTGAAAAGGAACGAGAAAGGTACGCGTTATTGGTATTGGTAATAACTTTCAATTATTCTAAGTCTTTCTTAGTTATCCTATAGTCAGGTGGTTTCGATTCATTTATGTACTCCTATTTTACTTGGGTGTCACATGTCCACTAGCTCCCACTTTGGTTCGTCCCTGAATCACATATTATTGGGAGATGTGTTGCTCTGATACTATTTATAACGCCCCATGCTCAAGATTCATAATTTAAATTTGACACCTGTATACCGATGAAAATCTAGAACATCCTACTATAAGAAAATCTTATGATTTATGATATGACTGGATTATATTTTCTAAGATATGATTTATGTAAAAGATTGGTTATACCAATTTCAAATAGTAAAAATATGAGTTTCTCGACCCGAACCGAATTGTGATCCGCGCCTCGACCCGACGCTGCCGTACGATGTGGCTCGTTCTACTGCCGCCACGTGTCACACAGCAGTGCAGACGGTCCCTCGACTCAGCTCGGCGCAAACAGCTCGGGCTTCCTCCGGTGACGCTCCGACGACTCCCATCGGCTGTTCGGCTCGACTCACCTATTTTCGCCCCGATTTCCACTGTTTCGACCCTCTGGGACCTGTTTTTGGTCCTGATTAAGGTATCCGAGGTCGTTTTAGAGCCGTATTTCACATTTATTGAATTATTGGTAAATTAATTGTGAAATACTACCAGAAGGTGGCGAACTGTGTGATAGGAAACAAACCCTATTTCCAAAGCACCCTATCGCATGGTGCCAGCAGAGTTGAAGAAATTTAAGGCGCAATTGCAAGACTTACTAGATAAAGGATTACCTAGCGTATCCCCCTGGGGTGCGCTAGTGTTGTTTATTAAGAAGAAAGATGGATCAATGCGTTTGTGCATCGATTACAGAGAGCTAAATAAGAGAACCATAAAAAACAAATATCCTCGACCTAGAATAGAAGACTTGTTCGATCAACTCAGAGAGACAACATTTTCCAAGATAGATCTTCGGTCCGGTTACCACCAAATTAGGATTAATGAAAAAGACGTACCAAAAATAGCGTTTAGGACAAGGTACGGTCACTACGAGTTCGTAGTGATGTCATTTGGCACCACCAATGCCCCAGTTGTGTTTATGGAGTTAATGAACCGAGTATTCAAGAAATGTCTAGACATATTTGTGATCGTGTTCATTGATGACATTCTAAGATACTAAAAAACAGACCTAGAACATGAGGAACACCTCCGAAAAGTCCTAACCACCCTAAGAGAGCATAAGTTGTACGTCAAGTTCTCCAAATGCGAATTTTGGTTATGATAAGTCTCTTTCCTAGAACACATAGTGTCAAAGGATGGAATATCTGTAGATCCCACCAAGGTCGAAGCGATCACAAAGTGGGAACGCCCAACTACGGTAACGGAAGTAAGGAGTTTCCTAGGATTGGCGCGATACTATCGAAGGTTCATGCTGGACTTCGCTAGAATATCCTCGCCTTTTACAAAGCTAACAAAAAAAGGTACCATTTAAATGGGATAATGCTTGTGAGGCAAGCTTCCAGAACTTAAAAGAGAGATTTGGTAACCCTCCCGGTACTGATAGTACCCGAGAGCTCAGAAGGGTATGTGATTTATAGTGATGCCTTCATGAAAGGACTGAGATGTGTATTAATGCAACATGACAAGGTTGTCGCATACGCATCTCGTCAACTTAAGGAATATGAAAAGAACTACCCTACCCACGACCTAGAGTTGGCTGCTGTAGTGTTCGCGCTGAAAATCTGGCGATATTACCTATATGGAGAGAAAACTCAAATTTTTACCGACCATAAAAGTTTAAAATACTTCTTCACCCAGAAAGAGTTAAACATGAGGCAGAGAAGGTGGTTAGAATTGGTGAAGGATTATGAGGTAGATATCTAGTACTATCCTGAAAAAGCAAACATGGTCGCAGATGCTTTGAGCAGAAAGACGGTCCACTCGTCGGCCCTCATTACGAGGGAAGTAAGGGTACAAAGAGAGTTCGAGCGAGCCAACATAGCTGTAGCGACCGAGGGAGTCATAGCACAGTTGGCCCGACTCACAGTACAACCTACGCTTAGGCAGAGAATTATTACCTCCCAACACGAGGATCCTAACCTACAAAAAGTCCTAGGACAGCTAGATGAAAGTCCAGTAGATGGATTCTCGAAGTCTTCGGATGAAGGACTATTGTATCAGGGACACTTATGTGTTCCGACAATAGAAAATTTAAGGAAAGAGATACTGACGGAAGCTCACAACTCGCCGTTTGCCATGCATCCAGGAGGTATTAAGATGTACCAAGATTTAAAACAACACTTTTGGTGGAAGAGCATGAAGAAGGATGTGGCCGAGTCTGTGAGCAAGTGCTTAGTTTGTCAACAGGTGAAAGCTCCAAGATAAAAGGCGGCGGGGTTGTTGCAGCCCCTAAGCATACCGGAGTGGAAGTGGGAAAACATAGCGATGGACTTCATAGTAGAATTACCCAAAACACCCAAAGTCTATACAGTGATCTGGGTAGTTGTTGATAGGTTGACCAAGTCGGCACACTTTCTACCTGGGAAAGCTACATATACAGTTGACAATTGGGCACAGTTGTATGTGAAAGAGATAGTAAGATTACATGGAGTCCAGTGTCTATATTGTCGGATCGGGATCCACGTTTTACGTCAGCATTTTGGCGCGAACTTAAAAAAGAACTGGGTACCCACCTCGACTTTAGTACTGCCTTTCACCCCCAAATAGATGGACAAATAGAGCATTTAAACCAAATTCTAGAGGACATGTTATGCGCTTGCATACTAGATTTTAAGGGAAGTTGGGATTCCAAACTCCACCTGATGGAATTTTCGTACAATAACAGCTTCCAAGCAACTATTGGAATGGCACCGTTTGAGGCTCTGTACGGAAAACTGTGTAGGTCCCCACTATGTTGAGACGAAGTAGGAGAGAGAGAGTTAGTAGGACCCCATTTGGTTCGACTCACCAATGAGGCTGTCCAGAAAATTCGAGCTCGGATGCATACCGCTCAAAGTAGATAGAAAAGCTATGCCGATGTAAGGCATAAAAGCTTGGAGTTTGAGATAGGGGACCCGGTATTCCTCAAGGTATCACTTCGAAAGGTGTGTTGAGATTCGGACGTAAGGGCAAGTTAAGTCCTAAATTCATTGAACTATTCGAGATCCTAGAGTGAGTTGGTCTAGTAGCGTATAAGTTAGCCCTACCTCCAGCTCTCTTAAGAGTACATGATGTATTTCACGTGTTGATGCTGAGGTAGTACATTACGGACCCTATCCACGTAATAGACTATGAACCACTCCAACTCAATGAAGATCTGAGCTACGAGGAAAAACTAGTGAAAACCTTACGCAACAGGAACATTGCGTTCGTTAAGGTACTGTGGCGGAGTCACCACAACGAGGAAGCCACGTGGGAGTGTTAGAATTAAATAAGAGAAAAATACCCGAGCTAATACAAGAGTTTGAGACTTTCGAAGACGAAAGTTCTTTTTAGGGGTAGATAATAAAACGACTCAGGAAAAAAAAAAGAAAAAGAAAAAAAAAACTTGTCGCTAGAAAACTTGAGAGTTTTTCGATGACCACCGAGTTTCACGGACCCCACGTGAAACGACTACCACACCTCACTCAGCCTTCAGTCCACGACTCCCAAAATTGATCAGAGTACCTGCAAATAGAGAAAAAGACGAAAATACGAGAGAGAGACAGAGAGAGAGAGAGAGAGATTTCGAATAACGTCGACGAGTTTCCAATTCCTCTGACGAGCCCCAAACCACCCTAAAATCGACGCCAAACTCTCAGTTACCACCATGAGAAGGATCCCTAACTAAAGCACAATA